CTGTTCCTCGTGCTAACCTTTTGCGTGCGTGGTAAGCGCGACTCGTGGCGTTCTTGAGCTGTCTAGCCACTTCCGCATCAACCCGTTGGGCACCCAACTCGCGAGCCTTCTATTCCGTCAAGCCACCTGGTTCTTTAGCCATTCCCACCAGGTTCCAGTCCTTTGATAACCATCCCAAAACCTCCGATAGCGCTTCCTTTCGAGGCGTGGTCTTGTCCGCGTGCGTCTACGCCAATGCGCGTATTCATGCCCTTCTTTGCGACCGTTTGTTGCCCGTCTCAGGACCATCTTCTCGCACGCTCTTGCGCATGTTACCGCTTGTACGCTTGCCTGCTTGCGGCCATCCCATGTGCGCGTTGTCCACCCAATATCTACCCCTTGTGCACCGCTCGTCTCCTCCGCAATGTAAACGCCCAAGGCCTTAGCCTCCAAGTGTCGTGCGCGTCGCTCCCTCGCGCACGCCTTGCACCAGTCGACCGCGTTACCCGAGCCCGCTATCGTACATTCGGCCCCGGCCCATTGCGCATAGTCTTTCCTCCATTACCCTAATGTTACACGCCGATGGACTACCTTCTCGCGTGCCCTTGCACACATCTATGCGCTCGACCCTTCAAGCCTTGATCTCCCGAGCTTCTTGCTCGACCTCCTATTCCATTGTGCACGTCGGCACCTTCGTATACAGGCTCGTGCACGTCTCCTAGGCCATGCAAGCCCTGTTTGCGCCCTTTGCTTGGCCTTGTCCATTAGCCTCGGCCCTCGGCCTTTCTCATCATCGAGGGTCGATACCCACTTCCGTATCATTCCCGCCCCCTTTGAGAATGTCCTTGTCCTCAAGGATTCATCATCGACCATTAATTGGGGCGTCCTCATCTCGTACACTACGTGCACAATTTCTTCCTCAACCACTGAAACCTCTAGCACACCTTCTTCATTCTCAAGACAAATCTCCTCCTTTACTCCAATCACTTCGGCTTCCTTGGACTCGCCCAAAATTCTTTCGACCTCAACAAAGTGTTCATCAGGGTATACATCGAAAATAGGCGGTCCTTCATAATTCGTCGACTCATTCACGTACTCGATGGGCCTTACATCCTTAAAATATTTCGAGAATTCAAACAGAAAGATAGGCTCCTTACACTTTTCATCGATCCTGCCTTCTTCTTTGTCAGACTTTCTTAGTACACGGTCGGTTGCTCTAACCAACTCGCGTATCTCGGATTGCTGCTGCTCGATCGTCCAAACCTCTTGCACCTCGCCTTCGACCTTAGTTACCTCGACCTCGGCTTCTTCAATTACTTCGACGTCCATGAGTTCATCTTCGGGGTTTACGTCGAAAATAGATGGGCCATCATATTCTGTCGAGACTTGCTCATCCTCTTCGTAGTAGTCGTCGAACAGAGGGAGCTCCTTGTACTTGACTTGCTCGACCGTGCCCGCATGTGCGCTTACCTCCTCGACTGCGAAAATATGGCCACCTCCGTGCCAAACCTGCTCAATACTCATNNNGCCAACCTCCTTGGTCCCACAGTCCTTGCTTTCCTTTAATGTGACCCGATGCTCTCTAGAGTTGAACTCCATGACTCCCGTCCGATAGTTGGTGGTCACTTTGCCTAACCCCTCGAGCCACTGCACTCCTAGCACAACGTCGGGTCCAACCAAGGGTAGCGCATAGAGATCGGCTTTGATGGTGACTCCTTGAAATTTGATCAGTACCGCATGATAAGCCTCCGAGCACGTTAGCCGTTCTCCATTGGCTACTCGAACTTCAAATGGTTCGACCCTCTTTGTTGGCAACTTCAACTTTTGAGATAGATCGGCGTTGATGAAGTTGTACGAAGATCTGTTGTCTATGAGCACGACTATACGGCGGTCCTTGACACATGCTGGTAGCCGCATCGTCCTCGGTCCTCTCGTTCCAGCCATTGCGTGCATTGAGATTTCGGCCTCCTCTTTGGGAACCCCAATCTCGACTTCTTGCTCCGAATCCTCCTCGATCTCGGGCTCGTCATCACCGATGACGTGGATGACAAAATCCTGCTTGCATTGATGGCCAGACGTAAATTTCCCGTCGCACTTAAAACAAAGTCCCCTTTCACGTCGGTTCTTTATTTCCTTGAGCGACAATCTCTTAACCTCCGGGACTGGTGGTCGAGAACTATCGGGTGGTCGATAGCTCGGAACCATATTGCTTGCATCCGGTTGTGCGCGTCGCGTCTCGGGGTAGCGTGCATCCGCCCGTCCCCTTCGAGTTGCCACAAGATGTTCTTCTCGGCGTCGAGCAACCTCCATGGCGGCATGCATTGTCTCGTGACGCTCTAAGCGCACCTCAGCAGCTAGATCAAACTTCAGGCCGCCTATAAAATGTAACGCCCCGTATTTTATTAATAAAGGAAAATACTACCTTTTAGTTTTAAGCTAGCCTTTGTTAATAAATAATCATGTTCATGTTCAAGTTCGAGTAATCAACTAGCTATATTCCAAGTTCGACTATTAGTCGATAAATTATTCGGTTTAGTTATTTAAGTAACCGAATAAGTTTCCAGATTTAATTTTGATTCGTTTATTTAATTAATGAGTTCGAAATTAATTATTCAGTCAGGAATATCCCGTCATGTTAATAATAATAAATCATGTATTTAATTCCGATATAATAGCGTTGTCGATTATAATTTTCGGAATTAATTATTTTCAGTCGAGATTACCCGAAATTATTTTCGACGTTCCGTTTACGTTCAGAATAATTTTGGTAATTAAGTATTATGCTTAATAATTAATTAAGCATAATGAAGTGATTAATTAGTAATTAATCACGCTAGTTGAGAAAAGCCGTAGCATAAATTTTGTTCAAATAGATCATTTGCCGTGGATGTTTTCTTCACAAGTAAGGGAACAATTTCCTCCCCATCAAGTATTTGACGTGTCATCTTAGGAGTATTTATAAGGGGACTAATCAATTTGAGCCCTTTATCATGTGGCAAGTGGCTTAATTTCATGAGTCCACCAAAGCATCATGTCACCCACATTTTTTTTGTAGCCTTTCGGTTTTAGTATAAGAAGGGGAAAGTGGGATGAATTTTTCCCCATATTTTCAGCATATACTTTCATCTCATATTTTACTAAGCTTAGCAAGGGAGATAAGTGAAGAATTTCTTTTACGCACCGCAAGCTTAACGCGCGCTTGCACGTACGGTCACGACGAGGTTCAAGTGCTTCGAGTGTTTAGCTCGATCAAGTGAGTAGCTGGAGAGGTAAAGTACATGATACCTATTTGTAGTAATAGATATCATTGCCATGATAATCAACTCCTATGTTAGCCGTAAGTGTGATCGGCCGTGCGAGTTCATGTCAAGAGCGCTCATGTTGATGTGAAATCTTTCGAGCAAACTTAGCATATCTAGCTATTTTATATAATATCATGTTCAGTCAGCTGGGTTTATTCGATGTATGTTCATGTTGTTGGTGTTTCGGCCAAGGGACGTGGTCGCGCACGTAGCGCGCACCACGGGCCGAGCGTGGTTGTGGTTTATATTAAGTAGTAGATCTCCGAGCATTTCATGTCCATTTATTCAGTAAATTATGTTTCATGTTCAATTGAGTTTGAATTGCTGAGAGAAAAGTCAGTTGGTCGTAAAACGGCTTACCGCCGTTGGCGGCGCACGGTGCGCTCGCCGCGGCCAAGTCCAGCCTTTCGTGCAATATTCATGTTTTTAGGTTATGTCAGCATTTATGTTCATATCCAGTCAGTTTATGTCAGTTGATGTTAGTTCGGTCGAGAGAAGTCGCCGGAAGACCGACAAGGGCCGGTCATGGTCGCGCTGCCCGCACACAGCGGCAGCAGCGCGCCGGCAGTCAGTGATGAAGATCGCGTGTCCCGATTGCCGATAAGCCACAAACCAGTGCCTTGAATCGTCGATAGTTGCCTAGAGGTTCACAAACCGCACCCCTCTAAACGAATATAATTGCAATAGGATTTTGGTGAAAAAACTAAAGCAAGGAGAGAATGAACAAACGTTCTTGATTTCTATTAATTCTTGGGATGATGAAAAATAACATAGGGGAAGGGCCTTTATATAGGCACTAACTAGATTTAATCCTAATATAACAATAACTCTAATAAAGCAATAAAATATTAAGTAACCTAAACAATCTAGATCTTATAAAGCAATAAGGAAAGTAAATATCTAGTAGAATCCTAATAAACTAGAAGGTCTTGATCTCCAAGTTACTTGCACACCAAGCACAACTTGATGCCCAAGTAATTCACACGCCCCCAAACTCTCGGCCGACTTATTGCGCGATCGCCTCTCGCGTACGTGTGCGCGTCCCACGGCGCCTAGTCCTTGAAGGCTGCGGACTCGCTGGCGCCCGTCACCCCACGCGCGTGCTGATGTGCGCACCGTCTGCTCGCGCGCGCTGGTTGGCGCGTACCAACCGGTCGCCCATGCCACGCCTATTCTTACGCTGCCTAGGCCTCCACCCTCGTTACTCTCATTCGCGCGTGATGCGCGCCCTGCACGCCCGTTGCTCTTCGCCCCGCGCGTCCCGTCAAATCTCGCGCGCTGCCTGCCCGTCGTGCACCCGCGTGCACCCAACGTTGCCCCGCGTGCGTTCCTTGACCATGGCGCGCTATTGCCGCTAGTTGCCCAATTGTGCGCATCAAGGGCCGATGCGCACCCTTTGCGTTTTGGCTTCTCACTAGCCTTGCAAATGCTAACTTCCACTTTCGTATCATTCCCGCCCCCTTTAAGCACATCCTTGTCCTCAAGGATCGAGGCTATCTCCAAACTCCTCATTTCGGCTTCTCGGCTTTTTCCCCTTGGTTCGGTTTTTAGCATGACAAGTCGGCTTCCCGAGTAGAATTGCATTATGCCTTTCTTATAATTCGTAGTAACTTCTCCAAGTCCCTATAGCCATTGAATTCCAAGAACTATCTCAGGCCCCACAATAGGTAGTGCATAGAGGTCGGCTTTGATGATCTCGCCTTGCAGGTTGATGGGCACCTCTCGATAATATTCATGACATCTTAGCCGCTCTCCATTGGCAACCCTTACATCGAACGGTTCCACTTTCGTTGCCTTGAGCACTAAGTCCTTACGTATTCGGTCGCAAATGAAGTTATGCGATGAGCCAGTGTCGACTAGTACCTCGATTGGCCGTTTTTTGATCATGGCGGGCAGTTGGATTGTTCTCGGTCCCTGTAGGCCTGCCATTGCATTAACCGAGATCTCCAAAACTTCATTCACTTGCTGCGCCGGTTGTTCCTCATAGGCTTCTTTCTCGTCCTCTTCGATGACGTCGATCAGAAAAAGTCGTTCGCATTGATGACCTGAAGTGAACCTTTCTTCGCATTTATAGCAGAGACCCTTCTCACGTCGACGTCTCATCTCCTCGAACGTGAGTTGTTTAACGCTCGGAGGTGGCGTTCGAAAGTTGTTCGGTGGTCGCGGGTTTGGCTGGACGTTGCTCATGTTCGATGGTGCGTTGTCTATGATTGTGCGCTCGTTCAAGTGTTGGTCCATGCGCCGTTGTTCCATGTTGCGCACACTCTCTCGCCCGATCCTCCGTGTGGCCATTAAGTGTTCATCCCTTCTTCGCGCAGATTCCATGGCCTCGCGCAGGGTATGTGGTTGGTCGAGCCTTACTTCTGCGGCTAGCTCGAACTTGAGCCAACCTATGAAAGTCCCAATGAGCGCAGAACTCGTCCAGTTGCGCACCCGACATGCGAGCCGCTCGAACTCTTTCATGTAGCCCCGAAGACTCCCTGTCTGCTTGATGTGTGAGAGCGACTCGTCGTAGCTGTGGTAGTCGGATGATCCAAATCGAGCAAGTAACTCGCACTCGAATTCTGCCCATCGGATGTGGAGTGGGTTGCCTTGATAGATGCTTACAAGCCATTGCCACCATACGTTGGCCTCCCCATCAAGATAATAAGCAGCGTACCTTACACGGTCATGCCCATTGATTTCATTAAGCTCGAAATATTGCACAGCTCGGTTGAGCCATGCGTCAGGATCTGTGCCGTTGAAGGTGGACAACGTGAGTTGTGGTTTGACGGGCTTCGGCCGGTCATAGTCGTTGGACGCCTGGGACCGCTGGTCAAAGTCATCATCTTGCTCGAAGTCCGCTTGTCGTTGCTCCCGTTCCTCGCGCCGTTGATCCTCGGGCTGCTCGCGGTTGGGACACCGCTCGTGAGCGTGATGCACACGGTCTTGCTGCCGAGGGGTTTGTTGCTCCATGATGCTGCGCGCCATCTCGTCAAAGCAGCGATTCATGATTTCCATCAGCTCTTGAACCGTGGCCTTGGTAGTGTCGAGCCCTTCGCTCATAGTACAGACCTGAACATCGAGATTACCGATCTTGTCCTTCATCTCCTAGTTGGCCATGGCTTTCTTCTCTTGCTTTCGCTCCTTACTACGCGGACTCGTGTTTGAAGATTTTTTTTTTAATATCAAACTCACGCACTCAAACAAAAGCAAAACACAATAATAATTTTTTTTTTGTTCTACAAAACTCACGGCAAAAGAAAAACCCCACTAATAATAATTTTTTTTTTATTTTTTTATTTGGGCAACTCACGCCCAACAAAAAAACTTTTTTTTTTTTGAACAAAACGCACAAACTCACGCAAAAATAAAAATAATTTTTTTTTTCCTGATCACTCACGAACCCTCACAAAATTTCAAAGGTAAACACTTTTTTTTTCTTTTTTTTTATTCGAACGGAAAAGAAAAAAGGAGAGAAAGAAAAAGAATGGGGAAAGAAAAAAAACACACGATCTTATCAACTCTCAATGAAAGCACCAATGATGAAGATCGCATGTCCCGATTGCCGATAAGCCACAAACCAATGCCTTGAATCATCGATAGTTGCCTAGAGGTTCACAAACCGCACCCCTCTAAACGAATATAATTGCAATAGGATTTTGGTGAAAAAACTAAAGCAAGGAGAGAATGAACAAAAGTTCTTGATTTCTATTAATTCTTCGGATGATGAAAAATAACACAGGGGAAGGGCCTTTATATAGGCACTAACTAGATCTAATCCTAATATAACTATAACTCTAATAAAGCAATAAAATATTAAGTAACCTAAACAATCTAGATCTTATAAAGCAATAAGGAAAGTAAATATCTAGTAGAATCCTAATAAACTAGAAGGTCTTGATCTCCAAGTTACTTGCACACCAAGCACAACTTGATGCCCAAGTAATTCACACGCCCCCAAACTCTCGGCCGACTTATTGCGCGACTGCCTCTCACGTACGTGTGCGCGTCCCACGGTGCCTAGTCCTTGAAGGCTGCGGACTCGCTGGCGCCCGTCACCCCACGTGCGTGCTGATGTGCCCGCCGCCTGCTCGCGCGCGCTGGTCGGCGCGTACCAACCGGTCGCCCATGCCACGCCTATTCCTACGATGCCTAGGCCTCCACCCTCGTTACTCTCATTCGCGCGTGATGCGCGCCCTGCACGCCCGTTGCTCTTCGCCCCGCGCGTCCCGTCAAATCCCGCGCACTGCCTGCCTGTCGTGCACCCGCGTGCACCTAACGTTGCCTCGCGTGCGTTCCTTGCCCATGGCGCGCTATTGCCGCTAGTTGCCCAATTGTGCGCATCAAGGGCCGATGCGCACCCTTTGCGTTTTGGCTTCTCACTAGCCTTGCAAATGCTAACTTCCACTTCCGTATCAGTCAGTCAGTGCGGGCAGACAGCGTGCGTGCATGCCCATGGGGCGTCGCGCATATCCCT